CTTGTTTTAGAAAGCAATATGGTATTGTTCGATTCGATTAATTTATCTTAGCTACGTCACCATTATTCAAAGAATTATACATATTCGTTTACATAGAAAAGTACTGAATACAATGCAATTGCTGAAATATTGATGTTCAAGAATGAAGTTCAACCAATAACTAAATTACAGTAATGTAGACTGTTCAGTATACACAGAAATAGTTGTTACAGAGTAAAAATATACTCCATGAAAACTATGACTTTATGCTGAAAATATTACATGAAGCTTTTTCACAACCATGTTTTGTCACTAAATTTAAGAAGTCGCCAAATAAGCTGCATTTGATACTGAAATGCATTACCATGGAGGCATGTGGAAACCTTAAAACGTAAAAACTTATAGCTTGTAATGTCAAATATGCATGTTTTTCTTTTACGGTATATCGAAATGTTTTCTTTTTGTATTAGAATCACACGGGTCTTTACAAATAACACACATTTAATTTGACTGTTTGGGCTGAACGTAAATGTTTAGTGGTGAGTCAGGAGTAGGATTAGTAGAGATTTTCTTTTTGTGCCTCATAACAAATACAAATGTCGCTGCAGTTAACAATATTCATATGGATTTAAAATTTTGAATTTAAGTATCGTACGATTTTCCTGTTTTAATCAAGTTGAACCTTTTGGGTAAAGAGAGGGAGGTGGGACACTCCCTCTCTTAACTCTTTTTTACGTTCCTTTCTCTTTCATCGTCTTTAACATATTCAGCTTTGTTGTACAAACAACATTCTGAGATTTCAAAACTACTGATATTTAATGACGATAAAATTAAACTTTACCAATTTTATTGATCCAGAAGCACATTTATATTTTTTGTCTGCAAAGTGATGTTTAAGGCCAAACTATTACAAAGTTCTAGACCTAATACATTTACCAGCTAATATCACTAAAAAGAACCAAACGCATAACTAAGCCCGGGTGGCTTTTTATTTTATCAAATTTCAGTAAAACATCCCTTAGGCTATCTTATTGCCAGAAATGGAATGCTGATAAACAGTCAGGCAGCAAAGCTATCGACCCAGGGATAAAATTGTTATCAAACGGATCCAATTTTAATGCAACAGATGCTGATTTTGACGAGTAATGTCTCATCAGTGTTGCTGGAGATAGCGACCATGAGGTAGAAGTAATATTAAATGCTACCAATTGTACTGCACAGACAATTAACGTCTCTTCTGTAGGCAAAGCTATTTAGAATTAAAAAACCCATAACTTTGACAAGCTAAGAAAGCAAATATAATATTTTATGCCCGTCTCTATTTGACGATTGTATCGGCAGTTGATACATGTAATGTTCCTTAAATTTCAAGCTGGAAAATAGTAAGAATCTTATACAGCAGTGACTGTGTAGATGCAAACCAAAATTAATTGTAACAGTTGTTTGTTTTTGTCAATATAACGGCTGTCATACAAATGGGAGATTGAGCTATCTATAAAATCAGGCTCATCACACTATTTTCCTTGGGGAAAGCCTGTACCCAGTCAGGAATATGACAATTGTTTTTCACTCGTTCCGTTTGTTAATAACGTTTGGTTTTGTCAGTTTGTATTGACTTCCCCTTTTTGAGTTCGGTATTTTTGTTATATCTTTTTGATATTATCCCAAGTCAGTGCACATAATAGAGTATGATATCGTATCGAAGAATTAAACCGGTGCTAGGGGCCGTTTTGAACTTGCAAAGAGCTGCTTTGTGTTATTGACCCCATTGTGACTTAGAAATAAGTCTAGATTAGTCTATGAAAAGGTATATACTATGAAATTTAGAGCGAGGGGCTTGCCCCGAGCATTTAATTTCATAGTACATACCGTTTCATAGACTATCCAATTTAGCACATATTTACAACTCGAGTAATCTTTTAATTGGTCTATTGATAGTTTATTTTGGCTGACTACTTGTATCGCAGGTGTTGGTAAAACAGAGCTCATAAACGAAGTTTTGTAAATGTACTCACTAGTATCATTGTAAAATATGTGATTTCAAAAGGCCCTTGACTCCAGAATGAAAAGATGGTAGCTGCTGGTGTAATTATGGTTATTGATATAAAGCGGTGTTTTACTATACATGTACTTCTTTACATGGTAAGATGACAACATAAATTGACCAAAAGCAGGCAAAAATTAAATTGCAGTGGAAGCTTTACATGTCTTGAAAATATTTTTCAATTTCACAGTAAAACTAAACCTATGATAAATTATTAGATAGTATGCAGTGGCGGATCCAAAAAAGGAGGGGGTCTGGGGATTGGAAAAAACCCTTTTTTAGACTATCGATGCTTTTGAATGGGGACATTTGGTTGGACCCCCCCCCCCCCCCCAAACCCCCCCCCCCCCCCCCCCCTCTTGATTCTGGGTTGTAGCCTCTATTTTAAAAATGGCTGGATCCGCCCTGGGTATGTCCCCATATATAGTCTAGCGGATATTCATTAAAAAGCAACTACCAATAGATTAAAGATACTAGAGTTTATGGTTTTTTTTTTATTTCAAAGTAAAAACTAAACGATTTATCAGAACATGTATATATATATATGGCACATTCTCGTCAGACATTATCACGGTTTTTCAATTCATGACATCGTCTTGAACATGAATGAAATATTTGCCACTGGACATTAAGCAATCAGTAATTAATCAATCAATTAATGAAGAAATATATCAAGTTGCCTTAATTTCCCTTCACAAGGTTTCATAGTAACTTTTTTGTGTACAAAGTAATTGCATGGATGATAAATTATCACAATTTTAAGATGGCGTTGTACTATAATAATCAAGGTATAAAGAACCATATTTGTTATTCTTTTTCTAAATGAAAGAAATTTGCAATCGTCAAAGGCATTTTTTAGATCCAAAGATTTTAATAGCAGGATATTTAAAAATCAATGTGAAAACTAATTACAAACTATTTAATTTAATTTGGAACGCAGCATTTTATTTTAAAAATAGCCAGTGGCAATTTTGTTTTAATATCTTGATTACGATACAATAAAATTTTATCCTTGCGGTCATTCATGCGTAGTTACTTAGTACACGAAAAAAGTATGTACTATGAAAACTAGAAGGCAAATTCAAGCAATTTGATTGGACGAGAAGTTGTAAGTATGTGCTAAATAACATATATAAACGGCTGTTCCCTTGATTTTGGTTTTGATAATGCGTACATAGATTTTGTGTCATAAATTCATATACCATTATCTTTCGTATCAATCAATTCCATGCTCATGCCTGAACACATAATTATATACCAAATTGACCCAGACAGTTAATATATCAACTTGAGATGTTCACTTCTTCTTATATCTATTTAGGAACACTTAGTGCAATTAATTAATCAATTTGTAAACATCGATCAACTTTTTACTTTTAGAATTGATAAATAGTTTGATTTCACTTAATTTCAAGTTTTGTAATTATTATGACGGGTGCCACATGTGGAGCAGGATCTGCTTACCCTTCCGGAGCACCTGAGATCACCCCCAGTTTTTGTTTGGGTTCGTGTTGCTTAGTCTTTAGTTTTCTATGTTGTGTCATCTGTACTATTATTTGTCTGTTTGTCTTTTTATTTTTGGCCATGGCTTTGTCAGTTTGTTTTCGATCTATGAGTTTGACTGTCCCTCTGGTATCTTTCGTCCCTCTTTTACAACGAGAGATCATCTCAAACAAAAGATTGAAGCAATACTATGTTGAGTCTTTTTTTTATAAGTCCAACAATATGAGGTGGATGACTGGTATCACAGAAACAATTTTTAATTGTCATTTATTTTGTCCGCAGATGATAATACGACGTTTTTATGAAGTTTCAAAGAATCACAAGAGTGCACCCGCTGAAATGTTTCGCCTGTTTATGTTTTAATTTTATTGAATAATAATGATGAGGATGAGGTCAAGGTCAAATGAACCTGCTAGACAAACATGGTGACCAAACCATCATTCCATACACCAAATATAGTTGATCTATTGCTATATGTACCTGATAAACTGACAAAACCATGGAAAATTAACATTGACCAATGAACCATGAAAATGAGTTCAAGGTCAGATGAACCCTTCCAGACAGACATGTACAACTTACAATCATTCCATACTGAAATATAGTGACCCTATTGCTTATAGTACCTGAGAAATAGACCAAAACCCTAAAACTAAACATTGTTCAATGGCCAATAAAATAAAGGTCAAGGTCTCTTTTGTTTTTTGTCGCATGCATGACAAAAACTAGGGAAACTTTAAACGACAATGGGATTGACTGATGCTTATTACCCTCCAATGGGGTTGGAAAATAGCAGGATATTAATGAATGAATTCAAAAATAGAGTGCATGATTATATCACTATTTTTGGTCCCTTGAATTCGAAAATCAAAATTTTTTAAGTCAAGCAAATAATTTTGTTTAGATCTTCATAGTCTGACACATATCTGTAGTAATGGTTTTGAATTTTTTCTTAAACATTTGCGCAAAAGTTTCAACTCCTTGAATTTAGATCAAAACTGCGAAATGGGTTCTTGATATTTAAATTAAGTTACGAACCATGGCTTTACCCAAAAAGATATTTTGCTTCAAATTCGTTTTATAAAGATGATACGATGTGTAAAATATCTTTTCCGGTAAAACTTTAGCTCCTATCTATTTTGTACAAAAAACATGTTTAAAATAACATCTTTTTTGTTAAAAATATAATTTTCAACATTCCAAGTAACCTTTCTGCACTAGTGTTTTCCAGATTGTATTTATCTGTTTGTTTCTCAATACAAGTAACATAGTTTTAAAAGTCTTGAATAATTTGACTGTTTTTGCAATTTTGAATAAAGGCTCTAAGAGAAGACAACAATATTCTCGATTAGAGCTTTTTTGCACAGTGTAAAAACTGTAAAGTTTAGTTTCAATCCGTTTAAAACTCTGCCAAAAAGAACTTAACTCGAAGTGTGCTGACGGAGGAACTGACGTACGATGGATGAACGACTCATATGGTAGAATATTTTTATTCAACATTTCATGCAGACGAAACAAAAATATGTTTTTCTTTTATTTTAGTCTCCTTATCATCATTGCTGTGGTTTTCAGTGAATAATGGTAGCCTTTCCATGCCTTCCAGTTTATTCCATTAGCATAAGAAGAATGTTTTCCGGACAGGTAGAGTCCATTCAGATTGGCACCATGACATCTTTCATACCACCAGCCTCCTTTGAAACTGGTTGCACAATTTGCAGAATGAGTATCATTATCCTGGTCTTTTGTCGAAAATTTTTGACCTTTATGATAGGAAAGAGAATTTCCTGTAAAAAAAACCAGAAGATTAATACAACTACTCTACAATATGAGCAGACGGAATATTTGATGATGTTGCAAAAAAATGGATAGTATACAGTTATTGACAGTTGATGAGGTTGATACAATGATTTGTCAACTCCACAGATATGATATCGGAGATGTACTTTTCCTATCAAATTTTTAATTTTGTCAGATGCTTGTGTCAATAATAAGCATTCAGACTTTTCTTTATTTTTCTCTTACTTAAATGTATAATACACAAAGTACTCCCTTTTCATTAAATTATATATACAAAACATTTTATTTCACAAACATGGGAATGGAGGTTGACTTTTAATATTTTGGGTTTTGGCGTTTCTGCTGAAGGTAAATCCAGAAAAAAACGCTTTGGACGCATCAAATTTTAATAGTGTTATTTTTATTTTCTCCAGTATATATAGTACATCTTTAAAAAACGAAAATTTGCCTGAAAATTAGTTTAAAGTTTTTTTTTTCATTTCAGTAGTTTTTCCTGTCATTTGATCTATAAATATGATATTTTGTGAGTAAATAATTCTATTTAAACATAATTCTAAATTTTGCTACTTAAAAAAACCAGCATATTCTAACCTCCAACATGTTCAATGTCAGTGAAATATTCCTGCATTTTAAAGACCATATTTTAATACCCAGTCACCCACTTAGGTGTTAAATAATGCCTTTTCTAACCATATGAAATAGACGAATTCGTTTAACACTTGGCAACTAGTTAAGGGCATACAATACAGTTTTGATCCGACGGTGAATTTTTGACTAACATTTGCATGCAAGCTATTTTTCATCTAGTCAATTCAAATATGTTATAAAAAAAGTATACCTTCATGTGTTACTTTTGGAGATAAATGGGGTCGAAAGTTTAGACATTTACCCAAAATGTCAGTTTCTTGGACATTTCTATCCTATGAACGGACATGCCCATCGTTTTGGTTTCAAACGATTATCACAAGCGAATTTTTGTAAAAACATTTGGAATATCTTCTTAACTTAAGTATGCTCTAAATTTGTGTAACAATTTTTTGGAAATATTTCATTTTTATCAAATTTTTTTTTCAACATTTTATGCTGAACATTTATCTCATTAAAAAATATTTCATCGGTGATTTGTTTATAAAAATTGTTACAATTAATCTTCATACATAATCAAGCCTAATGTCATTTTTTCAAGCTATTGATTAAAATCAGTCTAAAAATGCATCTTTTCCCGATTTGTCACAGTTTGAAGTCGCGAAAAATAACATTGTACGCTAGCAACGTTCTAACCTCCCCTGTAACTGTATCGTATTCCCAGCCAATTACAATGAATAAAAAATAATGTATCCAAGACTATAATATCAATCAGTACACATCCAATGGATTTAAATAAATACGTCATAAACAGTCAGAGAAAACCATGATCTTGTGCAATGCAACTATAAGTATCGAGAATGAGTTGGTATATATACACATTAAAGATAGGACCTAAGGAACCTCACCGTCAAACAAAAGCAAAAGTTACAATAGAGAACGAAAAATCGTAACTTTTGTCGTAAATTTTTGTAAAATTTCCAGATTGGAGGAAGTAGCGCTGACAGATCCGAAAAGAACATGTTAATAACAACTCATTACTGGTGAGCTGCAGGCCAAATATGATCCCATTCTGTTCTATGGTATTGGAGAAATGTGTGTCAAACTTTTGAATGTTCATTCAACATATACTAGCAGATTGCACATAGGGAGAAGGTATCTGACAGACCGAAAAAGTACTAACACGTTACAACTCATTACTGTCAACACGGGAGTGAAAGGAATTTTAATTGTGTTTAAACCTTAAATGATTTTTTTTGTATTGATTTTGTTTAACGTCAATGCTTTTTCTATAACGTTATTTAAAAAAATATGACTTAGGCAATATCATTCTACTTTGTAAGATTAATATTGTTACTTATGATGCTTATTAAAAAAATTAATGGGTATATATTTCAAATTTCGGATTTTTTTCAACGGATTAACTGCAGACCACTTTCGTCGAGTAAAATTGCCTGATTCCATTTGTCATGGACTCCACTATGTTTGACAAACGACAATTTCACTATCTTTTATGCACGTTGTGCTGTGTTGTTTGAAATATTTAAGGAACGGTGCGTTTTAATATGTTGCTTTTAAAGTCATATATTTACTATTTGATACACAGGAAACAAATTAAAATATTGACGTCGATCTGAAGCGGAAGACGGAAGAACATTCAAAAATCGTTTTCTTTTCTCGAGTATTCCCTTGATAATACCAAATAAGTAATGAAAAGTGAAGAAAACAAACTACGCTGTTTAAGCTAGCTCTAGACACAGTGGCTCCAGAACACAAAAAATTCTACTGATTTATTGTTTGTGGTAATTGGAGAAGAGACACACAATACAAGTTTCCTCATTTAGATTTACAGAAGCTATAACTTCTAGTGGTAAGTTAAACATACCTGCATCGCCCCTATAAGTACCAAAGGTCAACACATATTTCGATTTCTCATCGCCTACTTTAACGTTATCATATTTAGCATAACGGTTCCAATTGGAGAAATCTTCCATGGTTATGATCAGTTCATATTTCCCTTGTGCCGTCAGCATATGGAGTTTGTCATTGCCTGAAAGGTAAAGTATTTAACATTCCGTCAAACTGTCAAAGATATTTAGAATGTGATGTCTCTCTCTCTCTCTCTCTCTCTCTCTCTCTCTCTCTCGCTAATACACATTGGACAGTCTAACGACTGTACAGCACAGACAAGGCTAGGGCAACGATATTGATAAAAGATAAAAAAAATATACGAACAAGATGAAATGAAATCGCATTGAGAGATATTTCGGTTCAACAAATGGCCGTCATCAGTGTCAGTCCCTTTTCAAAATGTGATAAAACAATGAGTTATTTGTTGTTTTAAAAGAGCTCACTCATTCATACATGTAATCTTGTACTCTATTTAATTAGCTTTAAAAAATTCTTAGCAGGCGCGGTTGTGTATGCTTTCATCCCCATACTTAAGTATAAGTGTACGGATATCTTTGACATCCCAATTCTGACACAAATATCACAATTCGAGATTGTCTACAAATATAGCCACCAATATTGACATTGCATTACTTTGAAAATTTTACCCCATGCACCTTCCAAATCCATCTTCTCATGCTCCATGTAAAAAACAGAAGCTAAATTTTAATATGAAGGGCTGCTCTGCTTTCGCTTTGTAAATAACAGCGTGATAAAATATTAATAGAGAAGGACTCACAGATGTACATATTTATAGCTGTTACAGTCTACCTCCTCTCCTTCCCTCCCCTCCCCCCCCCGGACGTAAATCCACATGTATTTTAACCTATGTGCAAACACTAAATATATAATGTCTATTTCGCTGTGAATACTACAGAACTGTTATTTCTATTATGTAGTGCATTATCAATTAGAGCTTCAATTTTAACATGTGAATACCAATTGTCAATTGGACAGACCGGATTAAATTAAAACACAACTTAACTACATTAACAATGTTCAAAATGTAATTTGAGCATGAACATATTTTTTTTGCATAAAATGTGCATTCAATGGCAGTTATTTTTTACTTGCCAATCAAGTTTTCTATTTGTTTTTATGTAAAACTTGTTTGAAACTTACAAAAGATGTTATGTGAAGATTTAAAACAAATCTAAGTCTTGCATGAATTATTTCTTTTTAAGTACGTAGTGGTTGTATGATGTGGTATCCACGAATGCGAAGACCACGAGACAAAGAACAATGTCTTGTTTTTAAGATGATTAACAAATAATTCATACCTAACCAAAATTCATTCTGCAGACTTCCAAATCCTTCTTTATATTCTTTCCAATCTCTGTAAAAATTTACTTTACCATTCATCCTCCTTTGAAACACCTAATATAAATTAATACACGAAAACATAAAAAAAAACTTTGAATATTGTATTAAAGTAAAAGTAAATTGTCTTTCCAGCTATTTTACTGATGGACGTTAAGCAATCAACAATCAACCAATCTCAATTTTTTAGCTGGTGCAAGTTCATTCTAACTGAGCTTAACGTCAAGTTTTTGTCTCGTTATGAATTCCGATATGATACTCCTTGACTGTGTTTACCAATATTGGAACGCACTGGTACTACCATCTCACCCTAATCTGGATCAGTGAACACTATATAAATAACAAATAGACGAAAGGGCGATAGAGCAGATTGTTACCCCGAGAAAACATTGTGAACCGAGGCCAAAGATTCTACAGATTCTTATACATGTGTGCAAAGTTTAAATGTCTGTTTCATTTAATGTTTTAAATCCTTATGTATTTTTTAATTAAAATGTACCAAAACAAACGCAAGTCCTGTGACAGTCTTAAAAGAAGTTAAGAACTTGTATCGATTGAAAAAGGCGAGTACTAAAAGATGAAGAATATTTAAATGAAAACGGCGTTATCCTGACGTATGAAGAAATTTTATTTCAAACCAAAAAAAAAATGAATGTAGTAATAATACAATTGATATCAAGTTGGTTACTACATGCACATGACTGTAAAATGGATGAATTATTGACTTATACTGAAACTAAGGTTGCAACTACTAACTAGTACTTAAACCCCACCATACTGTATGCATACGTGTTATGGAATGAACTAGATCTGATACCCTTTGAAATATACTGCCTTATACAGCATAGACAAATTTACATGCCTATCTCTAACATTCTGGTATAATTATCACAGGCGAGACCAACATTTACAATTTAGTTGTTATGTTCATTTTCTACTATACTAAGGCTTACTATTGTCTCTAAGATGTGCGCTAACGCTGATAACAAAAATTCCACAAATCACAAGGAAAAAATTCTCAACTGTTTTCATGATTGCTGTTTAGTTGTTGTAAATCTTGAACATTGGATAGAGATGTTTTAAGAATAATATTTCGATAATAAATGTTAATCACAACATTTCGTGATAAAATCTTTTTTTAGCATGTATATTGATTTTTGTGATAATATAATATTGTCTTCCGATTTTGCTACTCAAATAACATTGCCATGTGTTCAACATATATCATTTAGGATTGCCAAAATATGTTTCCATAATACTAAAATAATAGACTCAGTTTTATGATCTCCTCTAGAGGTAAAATAATGACAAAAATCAGCGCCATTCAAAGTATAACTCTATAGTTAACAAATCTCAGATCTCCTTTTATTCTTTCATACCAAATTTTTTTATTATCATTTTCCTCCAAAAAAACAGACGAAGAGATCATAAGGTTAACAGTAAGATTGGTACCATTAATGTTATTTAATGTGGTTTATATTGTCGCATTGCGAACAAATTCTAAGAGTAGAAACCTCATTTTTTTCTTATGTTGACTCTCTGTGTCATGTGTCACAGGGAAATGCTATTATTCCGGATATGTTCGAATATAAAAGATGTTATGTTTGGTATATGTAAATGCTGCATCATCACCCCCTCCCCAAAACCACAAACAAAAACAGATCTTCATACGGTCTTCAACAAAAGACAAATGTAATTAAGACTATAACATTCTATTCTTTAAATCGTCCCGATTCTTAGACAAGATATGGTTAAAGACAGGCGGACTAGTCCAAAGGGATATTCACATTCTTAAGTCGAAAACGATCTGAAAATTCCTCAGCAAAAAAAAATAAAAAAAACGAAAAACGACCAAAAGACAAACAAGTCTACAAAACACAACTTAGAAAACTAAAGACTGAGCAAGGTCTTTGCATCGGAATTAAACATATTTATTCTAAAACCAGTTGTTGGCATGACACGGGTTATGTTCTTCTCATATATTTTACGATGGTATAATACTAAACCCCTAACAGGAGGGATTGTGCCTGATATTCATATGATGAAGACATAATCTTTCAATCAGTTTAATTGAGGTCTTTAGCTGGCATGTCAGTAACTGCTAGTAGTCTGTTGTTATTTATGTATTATTGTCCTTTTGTTTATTTTCTTTTGTTTCCTATTCTGACATCGGACTCGGACTTCTCTTAAACTGAGTTTTACTGTGCGTACTGTTGTGTGTTTGTTTTTTCTACATTGGCTAGAGGTATAGAGGGAGGGTTGAGATCTCAAAAAACATGTTTAACCCCGCCGCATTTTTGCGCCTGTCCCAAGTCAGGAGCCTCTGGCCTTTGTTAGACTTGTATCATTTTTAATTTTAGTTTCTTGTGTATAATTTGGAGTTTAGTATGACGTCCATTATCACTGAACTAGTATACATATTTGTTTAGGGGCCAGCTGAAGGACGCCTCCGGGTGCGGGAGTTTCTCGCTGCATTGAAGACCTATTGGTGGCCTTCGGCTGTTGTCTGCTCTATGGCCGGGTTGTTGTCTCTTTGACACATTCCCCATTTCCATTCTCAATTTTAACAATAACTCCACAAAAAAAAATCAAAAAAAAACCAAAAAAAAAAAAAAAACCCGGAGGTAATCTTAGGTGCTCCGAATGGGCAAGCAGATTCTGATCCACATGTGACACCCGTCGTGTCACTCATGTAAGTACATATTTGGTGATTAGTCTAATGCGGTGATCACATTCGAGGAAAAGAGGACTGGATTGCAGTTACGACAACTGGAACATATCCGTCGTCTTCTGTGAAACAGATATTCCATAACGGTCAACTAACTCGTGATTGCGTCCGTAAAAACCACCAAAATGGAATGAATTGCAACGAATATTTTTATTTTAATAATTAACAACAGATAATTCAAAGGGCCAATATTTGGACATACACTTTTACAGATGACTTGAACAAATCGAAAAGATCTTATATACATATGCAATTATAAAGAAGACTTAAATTTCTGATTGTAAAAAATATTACTTCTTTAACTGAATAATCATTTTTTTTAAATAAATCTTAATTTTTGTTCGTGTGTGCAGATCTAGACTTAACATTGAAACGCAATATTTATTCCAGGGCTTACTTGTATTTCCTATATCAAGATTTCCTTGATAGAGGGTTGCTGCTGACAAGGAAGCTATTAAACCAAGAGTTCCAAGTGGTGAAGTTGAAATCATCACTTTGTAAATTTTACGGACGCCATCACGAGTTGGTTGACCGTTATGGAATATCCGTTTCAGAGATGACAGTTGATATGTTCCAATTGTCGTAACTACAATCCCGTCCCCTTTTTCCAGAATGTGACCTACCGAATTAGACTTACTACCGGGTTTGTACTAGCATGAGCTACACGACGGGTGCCACATGTGGAGCAGAATATCTGCTTACCCTTCAGGAGCACCTAAGACCACCCCCAGTTTTTGGTTGGGTTCGTGTTGCCCAGTTTTTAGTTTTCTATGTTGTGTTTTGTGTTTTGTGTACTGTTGTTTGTCTGTTTGTCTGTTGGTCTTTTTATTTTTTTAGCCATGGCGTTGTCAGTTCGTTTTCAAATTATGAGTTTGAATGTCCCTTTGGTATCTTCCGCCTCTCTTTTACATAGACACAATATTTTTCTCTTGACTGTTTGAGAAGACTTGTATGCCCAAAAACATAGTTGTTGAAAATTAATATTGCATCATGCTAAATAAAGTATGGAATGATCGATTGATTGATATTTAACTATTGTATGGGTTCTAGTACACCATCTTCATGCAAAGAGCAGAATTTGCCATCATCTACCAAAATTATAGTTTTGATTCATTTAAGGAACTGTTCAGTTGATCACACATTCAACAATACGTGACAATGTAATACGAATCTTATAAAAAGTTCATACACGAAGCTATCATACTGTAGTTGCATACATCTACGTCATTACAACTCTGGTGTTTTTTTGATTTATTGGTATTCATACCACATCTCCTTTTTTATACTAAGATTTTTAGTAAACAAGTTTGAAAGACTTTTATTACATGGTGTGAAATAAATTCAGGAGAAATTGATTCTACTATTTTCAGAAAGTGTTTATGATAACAATAACCTCTCTCTTAATTTTTTGATTTTGATTTTCATTCCTTCCATTCTTCATTATGAATTAAACACTAGTATAATTTCAAAACTGAAGCCACTAACTACATATCATCATCTATAATTACCGACTATTTTATTCAAAGTTTCGAGTATGGCCTACACTAACATTAAAAAAAATAAACAGAGAGAGAGACGAAATTTTTGATTACATCTTATGTAATACTTTGGTTTAGACTGTCTGATACTTAGGGATATTTAAAGATGTATAAAATTATCTCTGTTTTGGTTGCTCACCGATTTTGTCAATATAATGGAGGCATAAACAACTGTGATACAAGTGGGAGGTTTAGCTAGCTATAAAACCAGGTTTAACCCACCATTTTCTTCGGAAAATGTCTGTACCAAGTCAGAAATATGTTAGTTGTTTTCCACTCGTTCCATTGATTGATAAAGTTTGATTTTATCAGTTTTTATGGAATTTCCCTTTTTGAATTTACCTTGGAGCTCGGTATATTTTTTAATTGATTTTAACTGCATTTTGTTCGATTACATACATGTGTCTTTGGTAAAAAGATGGATGCCACATATGGAAGAGGAAATGCTTACCGTTCTTGATTTAACACTGTTTTTATATTAAGTTTATTTATAATGTGTCCGAGTTGCTCAATTATTAGAATGCAATATTGATTTCAAGGATTAGGTAGGATTTAGTTTTTTGTCTCTGCATCATTTTCCTTTTGGCCAAATAAAAGGTTTTGTAGTGACTTTTTGACAAAGGATTTTGTAGTGATCCCTCAGTATCTTGTTACTTTTTATTATGATATTCAAGGGTCCCATTTGGTTAAGCGAGAACTCAGTCGGTTGATCTGCATTTGTATGTTGCATAGAAGAAAAGTCAGTTGTTCAAGTAGGAAACTCGTGTAAAAAAAAATGCAATCAATTTTGTACAATTTAATAGTTTTCTCGAATTCGTAGTCTTTTGGCACATATTACTGATTATCTAACCAAATGTTCCATCATTACAAAGAGAATAAAGAGAAATTAAGGAGTTAAATGTTTGTTTTATTTTGGAATAAAACTGAAAGGTGACACGATAATTATTCAAATCTTTTTAATAACAAATGTTTGAAAATGTGCGGTAAAAATTAGAGGAGTGAAAATGAACATTGAAATTTGCATCAAACAACACTGAAAATTAATGTGCGGCTTTATAATTATTTCCTGAGCAAAGAATGCAAAATACAACATATTTTCAAAAATAATAAATATACTGTCTGTTTATCAATAGAACGTAATATAACTAAGCCCTTTGATGAATATAACATATTTGACTCAGTCATTTGACAAGTTGTTTCCATCTTTTTTTCCAAAATATCGCAAATTTGATATTCCAGTCCCCCCATGTTCTAAGTGATAAAATCAGTCAATATTACAATTAAAAGAAAAAAAAAATTGTAATGATTATTCATGATCACGTCGGTAATATTCTATGAAAGACGAATTTGCATGAATTCCAAAGCTTTGCAAATTTTCAACTTTAATGTTGTTTTCTTCGAAATTACATATTTCTTGCGCTTGGTAAGTAATAAGAATACTGTGTAAAGTAATACTGGCAGTTTACTGATTTAAAAGGGAGGCGAAAGATACCAAACGGACATTCAAACCCATAAGTCGAAAATAAAGTAAACGAAAAGGTGCAAACAAAAAACAATTTTGTCGCATTTCAAATCACTCACATTTTTTTCTGGTTATTATCTTTATAATCATGATCTCTAAATAAATGAGATGCGGGGTAAACATCAATTAGACAGCAACTTGGCAACGAAAAGTTAACCACAAAAGATATCTAGAGGCCACAACATGACTTTTCAAAATGGACTAGCGCCTGAAACTTAATTTTTTTAAACAAATTTATAGATATTATTACTTTTCCCTGCTATATACCCTTTATTA